TGTGATGCGGTGGTCAAGAGGGCAAACGCCACCCTTGGTTGCATAGGCAGAAGTGTGGCTTCTAGATCGAGAGAGGTATTACTACCACTCTATATGACTCTGGTGTGCCTGCAACTGGAGTATTGTGCTCAGTTTCGGCCCCTCATTACAGAAAGGATATAGCCAGGTTAGAGTCAGTGCAGCGTAGGGCCACAAGGTTGGGGATGGGGTATGAGGCGAGAATGCGGGAACTCGGTCTCTTCAACCTGGAGAAGAGGAGACACAGAGGGGATATGTTGGTGACATACAGGTATATGAGAGATGGGTAGAGACCTGTTCTCCCCTGCAGAGGAAGGCAGGACGTGCTCCAACGGAGCAAAGCTCAGGGAGCCAAGGTTCCATTTAGATGACAGGAAGCACTTCCTGACAGTTAGGACCCCAAGGGTGTGGAATGGGCTTCCACGAGAGGTCGTTGAGGCCTCATCGGTGAGGATGTGCAAAGCTAGGCTGGCATGCACATGGTGGGCATGTCATGAGCGGAGCAGGCTGGAGCCGGGGGTCAAACTAGATGGCCTGGGAGACCCCTTCTGACTTGCTCTGTTTCTACGTTTCTGTGTTTCTCATGGGGAATCTGCTAGCCCACCTTCCATAAGATACATTCAGGAAAGGGTTTGGTCTCCTGTTATAAGCTGCCACAATGACACATGCTAATTTAGCTGAGTTCTTTAACCTAGCTTGGTTGTTTGAAATTTACCTTTCCCCACACTTTGGGGTTTCTGTTATGACTTTTGTCAGCTTGAGCCCTGTGAATGAATCATGGCTTGTTAAGTATAAACAATCTGTTAAGAGAACCTGTGTATTGGTTGTGTGGGTTGTTCAACATGTTTAGTTATTTCAGCTAGGTGCAGTGAACAGGATGACTCTGTTTCAACAACAAACCATGATTCAATAAAAACCACAGTCAACCTTTGAGTGCTGGTTATTATATTGTCCAAACCCAATGTCTGACTGTGGCTAGTTCTCTAAAAGTGCAATTCCCCTGCAGGGTGGGGCTAGCAGAAACAGTAGTAAGTTTCTGTGTGAGAGATGGAAAAGCAGCTGTTTGATTTTTTTTTCAATGGAAAGACAGAGAAGTGCTGAGAGTTTCAGCTTAGTTCAACTAACGTTTGGGAGGAATCAGGGCCAGATTTGGCCCTGTTGTCAGTGCTAGGCATTTTCACTAATGTCGACCCATAATACTGCCTTATAAAGACAGATCCACAGATATGTATTTACATTGTATAGGCTCCATGATCATAGATCTTCAGAGATGGTTTATGATTTTTACCTTGGTCTAGTAGGCCCACAGACCTGGAAATATTTTTGCTTCTAAAATATCCACAAGTAACGCCCCTCCCTATGCCAAACAGTTCAGGGTCCACAGGTACTCCTCTATATTCTTTCCATTGAAACATGTCAGGAGTTTTCTATTCTTATCCTGAATAGTATAACTGCCAACCATTGTTATTGATTGATTGATTGGTTGGTTGGTTGTATTTATATACCACCTCAATAGCCCAAAGGCTCTCTGGGTGGTTTGCAAACATTAAAACCCCAAATACAGTGCCCAATAAGTAGAGCTAATGGGAGTTGTTGTTACAATAGCCCACAGAAGTCCTGTCCCTTATTTCTCAGAAGTTAAATAAATAACTCCAAGCATGGGATTGGGACCTGGATCTTGGAAGTGGTTAACGCTTCTCTGAGGGAGGGTCGAGTGCCTGCCCCTTTAAAGGAGGCGGTAATACGACCGGTCCTGAAGAAAGCGTCACTGGATCCAGAGATGGCCACTAACTATAGACCTGTGGCCAACATCCCGTTTCTGGGCAAGGTGTTGGAGCGAGTGGTGGCGGGACAACTCCAAGCACTCTTGGATGAAACTGATTATCTGGATCCTTTTCAGTCCGGCTTCAGACCCGGGTACAGTACTGAATCTGCCTTGGTCGCCCTGTACGACGACCTGTGCAGGGAGAAGGACAGGGGGAGTACATCCCTGTTGGTTCTTCTGGACCTCTCGGCGGCTTTCGATACCATCGACCATGGTATCCTTCTGGATAGACTTGCGGGATTGGGGGTTGGAGGCACTGCTTTGCAGTGGTTCCGCTCCTATCTCGACGGTCGATTCCAGAAGGTAGTGCTGGGGGACCATGTCTCTACGTCATGGCAGCTATGCCATGGGGTACCACAGGGCTCCATTCTATCCCCTCTGCTATTTAACATCTATATGAAACCGCTGGGAGAGGTCATCAGGAGGTGTGGGCTGCGGAATCATCAATACGCTGATGATACCCAGCTTTACCTCTCATTCTCCACTAATCCAGGTGAGGCAGTGGCTGTGCTGAACCGGTGCTTGGCCGAGGTAAGGGAATGGATGAGGGCCAATAAACTGAAACTCAACCCAGACAAGACGGAGGTCCTGTTGGTTGGCGGATTGGGTTTCGGAGAGGGTGGATTTGACCTGGTCCTGAATGGTGCAACACTCCCTCTTAGGGATAAGGTCCGCAGCTTAGGAGTACTCCTCGACCCGGAGCTTTCTTTGGAAGCTCAGGTGACAGCGGTAGCGAGGAACGCCTTCCTTCAGCTTCGGCTGATTAATCAGCTGTGCCCATACCTGGAGTACGACTGCCTGGCGACGGTGACACACGCGCTGGTGACTTCCCGCCTAGACTTCTGTAACGCGCTTTACATGGGGCTTCCCCTGAAGACAGTCTGAACACTTCAATTGGTGCAAAATAGAGCTGCCAGGTTGCTGACGGGGACGGGGCGTTATGCTCACATGACTCCAGTCCTCCATCAGCTTCACTGGCTTCCCATTGAAGCCCGGGCCCAATTCAAGGTGTTGATTATGACCTACAAAGCCCTAAACGGCTTGGGTCCTGGCTACCTGAACGAGCGCTTACGTCCGTATATGCCCGACCGCCCTTTGAGATCTGTGGGAGAGTCCCTTCTCCGGGAACCCTCCATGAAAGAAATTAGGTGAGTAAGTACCCGGAGGAGGGCTTTCTCTGCAGTGGCGCCCAACCTATGGAATTCACTCCCCAAAGAGGTCCGCCTGGCACCGTCGTTACTGGTTTTTCGGCGCCAGGTAAAGACCTTTTTATTTAAACATCATTTCAATTGTTAAAACATATGATCTGGCCGGGGCAACTTCTTCTTCCTTCTCTTTCTCCTCCTATATTTTTATTTTATACTGATAATTTTAATTTTGTATTTGTAAATCAATGTATTTTTTTGTATTTTTATATTTAATGGTAATTTATTATGTACTATTGTATTTCAATGTATTTTCTCATGTTGTAAGCCGCCCCGAGGTTTCGGCAAGGGGCGGCATAGAAATGTAATAATAATAATAATAACAATAACAATAATAATAATAATAATAATAATAAAAAGTTTCCCTTTATTTCCGCTTTCAATTTTCAAAATCAACCACTTAGAAACAGGCATGTTACTACACTCAGTGTACTTGGCAAGACTAAGTTCTCGGAGAACCATGCTTACTCATTCGCCAATGAGGATGCTACTGAAAGATAACTCTTATCAGGATGATACAGAACAAAACTAACAGAACCTGTTTTGCTTTTTATTTTTGCTTTGTTTGTTATACTGATGATGACATGGATAATACCGACTCAGGCTTTTGTGCCAGGAACAAATTCTGCACATGGTCCTTCCTTCCTATAACGGATAAATGTTTTATTGAGAAGTCCTGATGGCAAGCAGCATGTACTTTCAAGGAAATTTTGCTTTTCTTGCGGGTAGGTCTATGCTTACTGACGAAGTAGCTGCTAGAACTACGGCATTAATAAATACACATCCATTGGGAGCTGAACAAGTATTTACATATGAATTTGTAAAGGCCTGTTAGCCCTCACCATGGCCTTCAATGCTGCGCCCACTGTGGATCAGTGCAGCTTCTGCTGCTCACACTGTTTGTCATCTGCAGGTCCCTGCTCCAGGTATTTCTGTGGCCGGAGCACTGGCACTGGGGAAAGCAGGAAAGAGATACAGCCAAACACCTGCTGCGGCAGTGAAGCGGAGGTAGAGCCCTCGTGGGTCACACATCGACTGCGACTTCATAGCCAGGCAGTGCACAGGGCGCAGGTGGTTCAGCTTTGGCTTGGGGATTAGGAGTTTCTATTAGGGCTTTTGTGGGTTCGTTATTATTGTATTGTTCTTGATATTGTTGCATTATGTATTTTGATATTGTTGATACTTTTAGTGTTTGATATTTCGTATTGTTCCTTTATATTTTTGTATTTCTTATCTTGATTTATTTTGTTATGCATTATTTAATTTGGATTTTAGTATACTGTTTTCTTATGTACTTAGAAACCAAATTTGTATACAGCCCAGAAAGTCTATTGGGCTATGGGGTGGAATAGACATCTACATTGAAATGAAATGAAATTTCTGTTGTTCTCACATATGTAAGGGAGACAAGAAAACAGGAACTCTGTGCTAGAAACGTTTGCTATTTTCTATGACACTGTCTTGAATTTCACTTTCTACTTATAATCAACACTTTTGCAACCGCAAAAGCTTGCACGTAAGGGTGAGAAAATAAAGCTGTTAATAACATTTATGCTATTAAAGCATCTCAGAGGAATGATTGGTGATTTTCTAATTTAAATATTTTTCAAACCAAATAATGTCTTATATTTGGCAGCAAGCAGGGCAAATATTTAAAAAAGAAGATTGCTGGCACAAACCTATGTTTGCTGGGAAGGTAAAAATTGATGGAGAGGAATGTGCCACAGTATATTCCTATTTTGCAAAATAGCCTTAACTGTTTAAAATAACATTGCCACCTCCTAAGGCAGATGGAAGGGTTCAGCTCTAGCATGAGATTTCATAGTCTAATTTTGAGTCATTTCACAACGGCTATTCTCAGAAGAATTTCGCTGTGGCTACATTCAATTTGCACTCTGAATGGAAAATGTAATCCACTTCATAATTCAATTTAAGCTGAACAACAAACCCACCTGCGCCAATTCAGAGCTGCTGAGGTGTCCATCACCATTTATATCCAAGTGGTTAAACATATCTTCAACTAAGATGCGCTTCTGGGTTCTGTCCTCCACTGGGTAAGTTTGCTGTCTCTGGCGGTGAGCCTGGAGGTCCAGCAGGATGCTCTTCAGTTGAGTGTAATCTGCCATTGTGCATGTGTCACCTGCAAGGTAAGAGATTATTACCTGGCAATGTGCTCCTGCTTGATTTGTTTAAGGCTATGTTTTTAAGAAGCAGTGCAAGCAGCGCCGAAGCCCGATGACCTGCAAACACAGCAGCTCTCAAAAGCAATACTTTAAGATGATTCTTGGTTGATCCCCTTTTGTAAAAGATGGGATTTCACTCCTTTCTTTAAATTGTCCCTCCAAGGAAGCTCATCAGCAACTTACTTTGCAGATTATAGAACTTCACTCAGTAGACAGCCGTGTAAAATATAATAATCCACTGACTATATTAAATTTGCTCTAGATACTTTAAGAAAGTAAATGCATGTGGTAAGTGAGTATGCAAAAAGAAAAAAAGTCAAATAGTCTATAAGCTACATCCTTATTTTTTCCACACTGAGGCCCAGTTTTCATGCACCTCTCTATTTCCATGGCACAATCTCTTTTCCCCCCTGTCACATAAGGAGATTAAACTGCCTTTGAAGTGATGATCATGACTGACCTCCTGAACAAATTTGCTCAACATCAGTCAGGCAGGAGCCACTGTTTATCAAACAGTACTATTCCATCCACTGTGTAAATGCAGGATTGGATCCTGATTCCAGCGGGATCAACTGTGCTGGCAGAACTGTGCTTCTCCAACTCCCTCTTATCAGGAAAGCCCTCTGAAAAGCTACCAAGAGGGATACTGAATTGGGGTGAGATGTGGAATAAGGAGAAGGGGGATCCCTAAGAATCAGGCTAAGGAACCTTCCAGGAAGAGAATCCTTCTTCTCTGGAAAGGCAGTTCCTGAATCCAAAGTCACAATATATAAGCTGGGATTCAGACTTCCAGAGCAGAAAGCCCGGAATTACACTGTTATGTCTGATTAGAGAGAGTTAAGCAATAATCATCTCTTTCAAAGAAGCAGATGCTTTCAACATGTTGTGAGATTTGATATAAGCAAAGTTGGTATCAGGTATCCACAGAACCCAGGTATCTACCTGTTGCTCCACTGACTCAGTTGCAAGCACTGACTTGTTTTATTTATTTATTTGAAGTTTTTATATGCCACCCCAATACTAAGGTCTCTGGACAGCTTACAAAAACCAAAAAAACCCCAACCATATACAACCCCCAACACACAACACACTGCATCCAATAATGATGATAAAGACATGGATAAAACCAATTAACTGTTAAAATATTGGGGAAAAATAAAAAGTGACTTGTTTGCCACTGTGTAACTGAGCATGAACAAAAGACTCCACCAGCCTGACAGCCTTTCCCTCTGAGACTATCCTTGGTAACTGCTTCTAAAGGGATACTCTTCCACAAAAGATAGGCAAAATAGCAGCCTATGCATCATCCTAGTAAAGAGGGTGAAGAGCAAGCAACTCCATGTATAAATGTTTCAAAACATTTTACTCAGGTTTCCTTCTGATTCCCACTGGACTGGCTTCCAGGTAATCAATTTAAGACTAAGGGACAAGACTGTGTTACCAAACTGGGATAATGATTGGATGGCTCATGCTGGTCTGTTGTTGCCCCCATTTTGTCAGTGGAAACTGGACTCGCAACCACTGAGGGTATCTGAGGCCCAATTCCCCCCCCCCCGAAACAACAAAAACAATTCAGATTGAAAACAATCCAAACGTGTCTCTAGTAAGGACCCTCCAACGTGAGGCTTTGAACCTGCCACTTCACTTTTGCTGCTGGATTCCTTATACATTTTGTCATTCTGCTTCTTTAATGCAAATTTTCTCTCTCTGCCTTTCCATATGTTCAATTATACCTTCTTTCCCTCAGGAAATTTTCTTTCTCTGTCTTTCCATACGTCCCATTACCCAACCAATAAGTGGCACAATGGAATTCCACATATAAGAGGCTTCCATTCTGCCATTCACGGATACACCAGAAGGAGTTTCCTCAGAAATAAAAGAATGGTTGCAAAGACGAGGAGGTGCCCCAGAGGATTATGACATGGTGTAAAGCATGCGCAAACTAGCATGCTAGAGAAATCTCATGAATGCCCAGTAACTGCCCCATGTTGAACCACTCTCAGTCTCTACAGTGGTTCCCACCAAATGTTTGCCCAATTTCATCCCCCATTTTTGGGTGCAAAAGTTAGAGGGTAGGAAAGCCTCGAACAAGGACCAAATCTGGACTGCAGACTGTGCATTGGCCATACCCCTATTTAAAGACTAGAATGAAGCAGATCCAACCCCTAAAAGCGAGTCGCTTGCTTGGGGCAAGAGTAAACAGAACCAGGGTGGCACTGAAGGAGAGCAAGTGTTAAAATCCGACTTACAATTTTGCCCCCAGTAGAATTTCCCTAAAGGAGCTTTTTCAGAAATGGAAGGATAAAAATAGTTCTTAGGTTTCCAAACTAGAAATACGCAATTACAGGGCAACATTGTAAAAGCATCTCTAGTGGGTATCCTTTGTATGGGCCTGGAGAGCAACTTACACTGATTTAAGAAACTTGTTCTTAAGGCTCTCATTGTATTTAATTCTTTGTAATAATACTTTTAAGGCTGCTTGTAAAGGCCTACTGTCGTTAATGTTAAATATAAGAGCCATAGTTCTTATTTCCATGTAAGAAAGAATTTACCATACAAAGTGAGGGGATAAAGATGACAAAAACAAGTCACTTGCAGTTCCAAGAGACGAGGACACAGATGTCATATGGAAAGAGGAGATTAAGAGCTACAGAAACACCTTTCCCCCTTAATCCAGTAATCTTTGTTGGGCCACTGGTTAAAGAAATGAATGCACTGGGTGGTATTTAGTGTTTCTCCCACACTAGAGGGACCAGTTATTAGCTTAACAGGAAGCTATGCAAATCAGCAAACATGCTACTGTCTGGAATGGGGCTGCACTGACTCGTTCTGTTCCAGAAACAAGCACCTCCTCTCCTTTCTAGGGTTCTGTTCAGAAGTTCTAGTTCCTGTTACATTTGCTGGGGCTCTTGCAAAGACAACAAAACCAGAAGTGCATTTGTAATGCTGGCTGACCACTATTTCACCATTCACAAAGTGATGTATTTGCCATGAACATAACTGTTTTCCTCCAGCTGGCATTTTATGGAAATTCAGTCTATCTGCAAATCGGAGGAGAAACACTTTTGTTATAAGGGCCACTCCAACAGCAGGTAGATCTACATGCCATAATAGGAAGACAAATTAACCAAAACTTTAGGGAATTAATCAAAAGACATCACTTTTAATCAGTAAGTGCAATGTTTCATCAGTGGGACTGTGAATGAATGACACATGTGTTGAATTTTGCAGCTATTTTAATTCTGGTTTGTCACCATGAAAAGGAATAAACAAAAATGTTAAAAGCTGGTCTTCCCTTTTACCCATAGTTATATATTTTATTTATTAGGGTATAAATTATTACATACTCTATTTAATGCATTTCAAAATATATCGAGATGGTGTCAATTTACAAATGTAATTTAATCCATATTAAATTTAATTGTTTAATTATTTGTTTAATTGGCTACAAGCCATATGATTAGCCAAACAAGTATTACTTAGATTGAAATCCTAAAGACCTTTACTCAGAAACCCCACTGACAAAGTGAGGTTACTTCCCAGTAAACATGCTCAAGAGATATTGCTAACCAGATGGCAGAACTAACCATAAACCAGGGGCAGTAAAATTGGAAAGACATTTGTTTCTTCAATGCAGCCCAGAGAAGCCAAAATGCTGGACCCCCCTGGTTTAAATAATGCTTGTTTAGGTGCTGTATCACCACACCCTCCTTGGGAGAAACCTTACCTACTTATGAGGTCCAGATGATGAAATAAATACCTAACCCCAGGTATTTTATATATCCTGTTCATAACCAGAGAAGGCATGGAGTCAAAGAGCAGGCTGTGGGTCTCAAAACTTAAAGTAATTTGTCCACATCATCAGGCTGCATTAGCTGAAATCTATCCAAAAAACATGACTGGCAGAAGCCCGGCTGCATCAAGATGATGGCACGCAAACTGGAAAGCCTGCGCATGATTTTGTCTTCTAATGCAGCACAAATTGGTCACAAGAGCCGGCTCACCGTTTGCTTTCCTCTGTTTTCCTGGCCCGTTCTCAGATTCAAGGCTCCATCATTCTTTGTCTTCAAATATTTATTTGCAGAGGTAGTGGTGGTTCCCTTAACCCAACTAATAACAAACATGTTATTATGTTACCCATATCTGACCTTGTTTTGAGGGCAGTGATAGATCTCTGCTATATCTGAGCATATTCCTTTCAGTAGAATTTGTACAGGCATTTCAAGTCAGAAAGAAAACTGTCTGACATGTTGACACACCTGAAATTCACACAACAAATATTATAAATTATTTTCCTTTCGGGAAGCACCAGGAAAGAATAATGCATAGCAGCAGAAAAGGAGAAAGACTGTAGAGTGGTCTAGCAGTTCTTTGTGGGAACGTTTACAGGTTTTTGGGGCTTGATTGTGTATGCGTGGATGCATGAAGCCAGGGATAGATTTTCACTGGCTAACCAGGTGAAGTCTAATGATGCCTGATGGACAAGCACATGTGGTGCCTGGTGGACTTTTGTAACATTAATCAGAAGCTTTACAATCTCCTGGTTCAAAATAACAAATATGTCTGCTATCAAAGCTGAGGAGGAAGCATCATGCAGGAGCCAATCCGCCCTCCCTGCAGATGGCTGGCATGCAACCTGTCTGGCTCTGCCTCCCAGAAACCTGTTGTCGACAGCCAATCAGCAAAGTGATGCCCAGATGTGCTAGAGGTCGCAGATGGCGATTTTCTCTTAGGTGGCCAGCAAGGCAGCCATGCGTCTCACAAGATAATATTAAAGGATAAACTGGCTGAGTGAAAATGCTATTGGTGATTAGCCATTCATATAAAAGGAACAGCTATTCATGAAAGACAAGCTGAAACCTGATGAGCTTATTGAGTATTATCTTCCCCCTGAGCTGGTCATTTCAATCTTCCTTCAAGGTCATTTTGAAGATGGAGGTTTACTCTCTTTTGGTGT